CTTCATTTTCAACCACATATTCCCCATCACATCACTTCAAAAAAATACATTCTCTCATTTTAATGTACACCAAACAGGCTGATATGATGTCTCGCTATTGCTAACATGAGCTCAAGTATTGAGGTTTCAAAATTAGTAAAGGGACATCACTCTCAACTCCAAAACCTAAGGACTTCGATACAAAAAAATGAAAGAAGAAGTGCTATATTTTTTTTTCTCTAAAAGAGGTGCTATGATTGTTGAAAAAAAATGTTAGAACTAATCGGTGCTAGTGTCGTAGAAGACGCGATTATGCTCAAGGAAAACACTCTGCATGGTGCAGCAAGAGAAAAAAGTGGTCAATTCTACGTTGATAGCCTAAAGCGCACCTAAGTAGAAAAGGGGGTACAATTTTTTATTTGGTAAGTGTATTCTTATTCTTAAATTCAGCTCTACAAAAAGTCTTGACTTAAAATTAAAAAAAATCCGGCCTAGTCCAAACCCATCATACGAACAATCCTCGACTGCATCTTGTTTACGTCCCAAACATGAGGTATGTTATATTTAGGGAAATTCGCAGTCATGGTATCAAACTTTTCAATTTTTTCCAGATTTTGCCTAAACCTTTGTTTTGTACTACCCACGGTACCAAAACTTTAAACAATTTGCACTGGAGGTCTGCATGGACGGTTTTCATCCAATGGATCGTTAATTGACCAAAAAGTCAAAATTGACTAATTGTTGACTAATTTTTTAAGGGCAAAATGGTAACTTTCCCTTTTTCATATATATATATAAACTAAAATAAAAAACCAAAAATTAAAATAAAAGAACAAAAAAAGGGAAAATTGCGGCCGTGGTCCCAAACCTTTCATTTTGTTGCAGATTACACACAAACATTTTATTTTTGTGACCGAAGTCCCAAACAATTATGTAGTTGCAGCGTCGGTCTCACGCCTATAATTCCGTCCATAAAACCGTCGGTCGACTTTTCAACTGTAATTTTGACACGAAAAAATTACAGAGCCAGTCCCAAACCTTTCATTTTGATGCA